TCCAGAAATTTCATTTGGATTGCAAAATAAAAAAGACAGAGAAGCCCAATAAGAATGACAGAGAGCATGTTGTCTGCAATGTAACACACACCACTGTGTTCCAAAAATATTCATTTCCTAAAAGAGGCAAGTGAGACACGATTACTTTGAGATTCACGGCACATTCCATGTTCGTTCCCGACTTCTTGGATGCATGGGACCACACCCAGAAATATCTGTGAAGTCTATCTATCATCGCTGTGTCTTCCTGCTTGTGCTCTCTGTGAGCTATGATAGATGCATGTGTCTACATTAGCTACCAAGCCTGTCTGGCACTCTTAAGACATTTCTTTAAAATGTAAGTGTGTGCGAGCACACGCACACAGGTAAGTGCACATACTGAGGCTAGGGAACAGCTTTCTTGAGTCCATTTTCTCCTCCATCACAGATTCTGAGGATTGAGCTCCAGTTAGTTCAGCAAGCACCTTTACCTGCTGAGCCCTAAAAGGTTCCTAAGATATTTTCCTATGCATCTGTTACATCTTCATCTTATAAATGGGTTCATGTGATGGAAACTAAAAAGTTCAGTGGAAAAAGGGTTCATTTTTGTTTTACTCAAACCAAAATCAATTGTCTGAGCTGTTTTGCTTGGTATCTATCTCCTATGCTACAGACATGTTTCAGTACATGAACCTGGTAAACACAGACCTGGATTTTAGAAGCTGGATTCCTACTGGAAAACGCTGTACTTGTGGTTACCACCTATTAGAGCACAAGCACCCAATCAACGTTTTTATATTTCACAGTGGCTGAGATTTGGGTTTTCTTAAAGAATTACAAATATGAGGCAAGAAAGAAGTGAGCCTAGAAATTCCCAGGTTGTCTGTCTGTCTATGAATTGTACTTCTTTCTAAATCCCATTGCATAGAAGACAGGCAAACTAGTTTCCCATGACATAGTACAGACAAATACAGGGCAGAAGCTATGTGTTACTATTATTATTTTTCTTTTTCAAGACAGGGTTTCTCTGTGTAGCTTTGGAGCCTGTCCTGGAACTCACTCTGTAGACCCGGCTGGCCTCGAACTCACAGAGATCCGCCTGCCTCTGCCTCCCGAGTGCAGAAGCCATGGTTCTTAAAAGCAACAGACATTGCTTCCTCTAAGGAGAGCTACAGGGACCACATTTCTATTTTTAATTGTGGGTGCGTGCGTGCGTGCGCGTGCATGTGTGTGTGTGTCTATGTGGGTCGTATGTACAAGTATAGATGCTACTCCCTGGAGCTGGAGAACCGGTTGGATGCAGATAACCCAACTTCCATCTTCTGCAAGAACAGCAAGTGTTCTTAACCACTGAACCATCTCACCAGCCCTGAGACCATATTTCTGAGTCTCCTATCAGTAATTTGGAAGGTACCTGACTAGCTTGGAGATATAGGAATTAGGACATCAAACCTTCAAATTGTGATCATTCAGATAACATTACCAGACAATCCCAAGATCTTCTTGAGCATTCTCGGCTGTAAGTAAGTGACACTCTGAGATACCATGACAATCTCAACCAAAAAAACAGAAAGAAAGCTGCACTGTGATGGACTTGAGTGATGTGTAAGCAACAGCGCTGAATGCCAGCAGAAGCCCACAAGGGCTGACTCCATCAGATGCCCAATGAGAATTCATGAATAAATGAAAAGAGCCTGCTTCAGAAACTCTAGTGAACAATGGCTCCATGGGAAAAGCGTCAGGCAAAGCCGATTCATTACATCAACCGGGTGACGCTCAGCCAGAGAAATGCTTCATGAGTCAATGGCTTTCAGCAGGCAGAGCCTTGAAGTGCTGGCCGTCAAAAATCCACTGGGCAGCCTGATGCTGCTTTAAGGTTAGTTACCTGTTGCTCTCAGGGCTGCAACAGCTTGTGGGGGATTTAGGAAAAGAGAGATCTTGCCATATTCCAGAAATTTCATTTGGATTGCAAAATAAAAAAGACAGAGAAGCCCAATAAGAATGACAGAGAGCATGTTGTCTGCAATGTAACACACACCACTGTGTTCCAAAAATATTCATTTCCTAAAAGAGGCAAGTGAGACACGATTACTTTGAGATTCACGGCACATTCCATGTTCGTTCCCGACTTCTTGGATGCATGGGACCACCTGGAATCTAAGCCTTGTGCTATATTTAACTAAAGATGTAGCTAACACATCTGCTGGCCCTTGACCAACTAACTGTTGACCTTTCTACAACAGTACTCCTTCAGGTGGGGTCAGAAAATGGTCCCACGGATAAAAGGGTACAGCAAAGCAAAGGCTGATTTGTAACTTCCAGAACTTGCTGCAAAAAAGTGAAGGGTTTGAAACTCAGTTCTCCAACACAGAGGAAAACCTGTGGTTTGATCATTTTATGATTGAACGTGCTACCTCTAATGACAGAGAGCCGCACCCACCATGAGCAGCAAACCAGTAATATCCAAATAACAGGTTATTTAAACACCACAGATGATCATAAGGGCCCTCCCTGACTGTGCTTTCTGAAGCCATTCTTGTTACTTCGTACAGGGAAAGGGGGCACCTGTCTGGGAAATAGGGAGTACAGCCTCCCTCGTTTATGAGGGACACAAAAAGACCGTCCTTCTGACAGAAGGGCAAAGCCACCCTGTATCTGAAGGAGACACTGCTTTGTGTTCTCATGCATTTCAGCCAATTATATCTCAGTTCCTTGAGGCCACGCGGTTTCCTTACCATGCATCTCAGTGGTTCTGCTGTACAACTGAGCAACACCACATGGAAAATGGTACTTCCCTTGTGCACCTTTGGAAAATTAACAGAAAACTAGTGTGTCTGAGAGGAGAAAGAAAGAAGGAAACCAAAGCCCCAAGCCAAAAACCTTTCCACAGGCTTATATCAGAAACTGTTAACTCCATTTTCAGTTACCCGTTAACTCAGGAGCTGAGCCTGGGTGAAAGGCCAGATACAAATGACCTGCACTAGGAGAGAATCGGTGCCCTTGCTCAGCCCCCAAGAGAGATGAAAATGGAAAGACACAGTAGTAACTTTGGGTCACCTTACAGCTGACATACCCTGCAGCTGGGACGAGACTATGGTACCCTAAATCTGCTGATAGTGACGCCTACCTTTGTGGAGGTCCTTCTGCTGTGGACCTAGGAGTTTGGTCAACAGCAAGTTTCACACTGCATTACAAAATGTAACTGTACATTTTCAATTACATTTTAACATGTAAACCTCTAAGTGATTTTTCTGTACATTATAAACTAACAAAGTAAGCATGTTATCCTCTTTGACATGCCATCCCGGGACTACACTGAGGGAACGCTCAGCTCCCAAGAAGTTCGGCTTGAGGATTTAGAAGGGGGGGTGCCACTGCAAGTTCTTGAGGAAGAGAGAGGGAGAGGAGATCTTACTGGCAACTGCACAAAGCCACAGACAAGCCATTCCTCAATAAAGAGCTGGATAAATGGTCCCATCCCAGAAGGAACCTCAAACCCTCTTGGCTCCTCTCTCTCAAGCTCCCTGCTGACTGCGTGAGGCATGAGGGATGTTATGAAAGTCCCGCTTCCCATGCATGAGTGGGAGTCTTAAGAGTTCATGGCAGAATGCAGCAGGCACTAGAGAAATGAAAATAGGGACTCCGGTTGGCACTGAAATCACCTTTAGAAAATGTGCCCTTGACAACGGTCATCATTGACATACCAGAAACTAACAAGCTTCAAAAGTGCGTAAGCAACCACTTCTCATAAAATGTCAGTTCCCTTCAGCAGGCGTTACGAACTGCATTTAGCATGCAAGATACTACTGCTGAGTTAACTGAGTGCTAGGGCATGCACCTGTCCTTTGGCGGGTTCGCCGCTTTCTTTCTAATGAGAAGTGGTGTTATCTGCATGTGTGGTGGGTGAGGTGGAGCCTCGTCTACTTCAGGCACAGACATCTCTGAGAGGCTCTACCACACTGGACCCGAGTGCTCTTCCAATGGCAAACAACACTAAAGAATGGGAACCGCCGAAGTCACCAGCAGAGCTGTGTTTTTGTTTCCAAGTTTCTCCTTCAACAACTATTCAAGGTTGGTTTGTTTTATTCTTGATTTTAAAACAGTCACAAGTGTTCTACACATAAGTCACTACTCCGGAAAAACTTACAAAAACTCGCTGTCACATCATCAAGTCGGCATGGAGGCATCCTGTAGAGGCAGACAGAGGTCGCCTCCATGCAACACAGAACTAACTTCCTCTCCAAATGTTCTACATTTGGAAAATGTTACCAAGTTCTAGCCCAGCGTTGGTGAGCTTTGTAAAAGTTTCCTGGCATTGCCTCTCACTGTGCCTTACAGTGTGTTTCAGCTGTACTTGCAGATGGTCCCGCGTCTGTCTACACACTGGGATCCTATTCTCAGGCCTCGGGAATGCTGGCAGTGTCTACGAACTGTCTAGTCAGGACATCTTCAGAATACAAATGCTTTTGGAACAGTGACTTCCAAATGCAACATGGAATCTCTAGGCTCAAGATACTTCACATGTTTTTATTAAGATTTACAGTTTAGTGTTGTACAACTAGCACGCCTTCTGTTGTATGCTCAATGCCCTAGGCAGGTTCTGAAGGGGCAGCTTTGTATCCTGACTTTCCTCACAGCACAAGGGAAGAGTGATTTAAAAACTGAAACTCTAGGGGCAGGGTGACAGGAAAGTAGTACCTGAAAAATAATTTTTTTTTTTTTTTGGTTTTTGTTTTGTTTTTCAAGACAGGGTTTCTCTGTGTGGCTTTGGAGACTGTCCAGGAACTAGCTTTATACACCAGGTTGTATCGAACTCACAGTGATCTGCCTGCCTCTGCCTCCTGAGTGCTGGGATTAAAGGCGTGCAGCACCACCGCCTGGCTGTAAATAAGTTCTTTTTAAAGCCTAGTACTTCCTAATGGGCTTTTGTACCTAAGAAATTTTAACAAAACAAGAGAAAATTTGATGTGGTCAAGTATTGTAATTATAAAACCACTAGCTGAATTTTCCCTGTCATACAGCCTCACATGAGCAGGAAGGCCTGTGTGTGTGCGGAAGACATTCCACCTGGTCTGGGCATGCTGGGCAGTGGTCTCAGAAGATCCATCCCTTACACTTCCTCATGCACAGGAACCTCCACTGTAAGTGACTGCTCTCCTGTTGCATAAGACGGCAGTGTTAGTAGTCAGGGTTAGTTTGTATTTTATTTTATTTTTCATTCAGAATGGATGTGAATGAAACTTACTGGCACACCTACGCTGCAGCCCCATGCAAGCAAGCAAAAAGCAAAGTATTGAAAATGGAAGGTAAGGAGAAACTGGCTAGCAGGCAGCTACACTCACCCTTTTGTACAGCCTATGGTCCACCAGGGGGCTTTAGACAGTAAAACAACACCAGAGAGCTATTAGCATGTGAGGGTCACAGCAGAAATCTTACAACAGCTTTATGTCAACCAAAGAGACTACCAAGTGGCTTCTTTTGTGGGGAAGGAAGAGGGGGTGACGGCAGGGGGTGTGAAATGAGCAGGAATAAAACCCATCAACTTATTTTTAAAAACCATCGGGGGTCACGTGACTTAGAGATGGGACTCCTAATTTCTGAGGCCACTGTCTACCTACCTTGTTGAGAGGGTATCTCCAAGTTTTCTATTTAACAGACTGCAATGCTTCTAACAGTCAATAAACATGACAGTGTTGCTTCTGAAAGTAATGCTAAGTAAACCAGAATGGGTTGCACACATCCAAGGGAAAACACAAGTTATAATAACCCCCAGGAGAGAGGTCCAGACTTCATCAGGCTCCTTAATGAAATATGTTAAATAAACACACAAAAATGGGAAGTGAGTAAATACACCCTTCACAGCCAGTATGCAAAGGCTCCTGCAGTTGGCTTGTTCATTTCTGTGTCATCTGGATCAAAGAGCAGTCGTCTTTATTTTGCTGCAGACAGAGCCCCAAACCTGATGCTGTCTTCACAGCAGACCTTGCCACCCTCACTGGTTAAAACAGAAACTCAAGACAGTGAGATCTCCAGCAAATTCCTCTCACAGACTAAAGTTAAAAGTAGGATTCCTCTGTCCCAGTCAACATTAGGAAGAAGTCTTTTATGCAATTATAAGTATCTTAACTCTTTCAACTCAGCCACTGTAAGCACAGAACACACCTTCAAAAGAACACACACTGGAAAGTCAGTGAAGGGTTTTAGGTAGCTTTGCTTACATTGCATTTCTCACCTATGTTTGAACTCAGAAGCAACAAAGTGGAGACAGTGGCACAGTTTAACCCTGCAATGTTCTAGTTTACTGTAAATTGCCTCAAGACCAACGACAGGGTCTGGATGGACCAGTCTCATGAAGCAGAGTGGCGACTCTGCACCACAGGGACTAAGTCTATTAGTCTCTGTGCTGGACAGTCTTCGGGGCTCTCATTCTATGGGGGAAAGAAGGAAAGAAGGGGCAGTGAACAAGTGAGGCTACAAGGAAGAGAACTGAGGGAGTCCAAGGTATTTTACAAACAGGAGAAACTCAGCTATTCTACCAGGTTGTAAGTGCGCAACTGAAACCCATGGCTTAACATCAGAGACAGGAGGCTGGCTTGGGGAGATGTGCGGAGTCCCTTTCATTACGTGAAAGCATCCCCTGTAATTTACTATCCTTTTCCTGCCAGCACTTCCCCAGTAGCTTATTTACACTGGTGTTTCACGGACAAGCGGGGGTGGGAGGGTGGGGTGGAGGGGGGGATGGTGGAGGAAGTGGAGAAGACCTTCATCCAAGGCATGAAGAGAGCATCCAGGAGACGCACTCGATGTCCCCTGTTCCGTCTAGAGAATGCCTGGCACCCCAACACTCACTCTTTAAGGTGCTATACATGTTTCTTTCTATGGGCACACAGATGTGTGTCTGTGTTGACTTATGTAAGAGCGTAAGTTCCCAGTTAAACTTTAAGTCTCAAAGGCAGGGTATTTTCAAATATTAGCAGCTTAAATGGCTTTAAGAGTAAGAGAAACTGAAGTGAAAGCTCTGATGAGTGAAACTGAATGGAAGGTTTTGGGGATGGTTAAACAGGAGAAAGAGTAGACCGCAGGGAGCCAGCTCAAGTCTGTTGCTCTCAACTGCACACACAGCTCCTGATACCCGGGAAACAACACACTACATGGAGGGAAGTCTCAGAGCAGCTCCGATGGCCACTGTTACAGACTCCAGACTTGATCTACAGAGAGAAAACAAGAGTCTCCACTCCAGCCACCAGAAGTCTAAGTCTTCACCAAGAAAGATCACATCTGAGGAAAGATTCCTCTAGCTCGGCTCCACGAGAAGATGTTCCCCACTCTCACCCTGGACCAAATTAGACTGGCTTTCTGTGGTAAATTGAATGGGAATGCTATCTTCTACATATCCAGTAGAGGGCACCAGCTGCTTAGTGGAAATTCCACATGGAAAACCTAGATGGCATGCATTTAAGGTTTTTTTCCCCTCCTTCCTTGATTTTCTGTGTGGATATCTAGTGGCAGAGTAAACACAGAGTGAAGACCATAATGCAAACTGGCATATCAATGATAGGTTAAAGAGAAATTTGAACTAAAAACTAGTCCAAGTAAATTACATGCATGCCCAAATCAAAACAGAAAAACAGTTTTGAGTTTCCACGGTCAGACACACACTTTCTCAAATCATTTCAGCCCAAGTGGCAGTGCCTAGGGTTCCACCATCCGGTTATGACCTGGAGTGCTTACCCCTTGCTTGCTGGAGGTTATCAGCATTACACAGAGCCAGCAAACTGCTGGGAAGGTCAGGGCTGTTTTATTATCATTAGTGAGCACAACGACACATAAGGACTTGGTGTACCTGTGACGACAGCGGCGTAGAAACCTCATTATTTTTCGAGCAGCTTGGTCCTGCTTTTTGGTCAGCAAACTGCCCCTGAAAAAGCCAGAATACTACTGTCACAAGAAAGGTTCCGTAAAGCTCCCAGTGCAGACACTGAGAAGTGACCTGAGCTACAGCGGGAGGAGACTTTCAGTTAAATGGTTTGTGTCACACATCCAACTGCAAAGCACACACTGCTCCCACAGTGCTGAGACTGGCCTGGACACCCCAAGCTTTTGTTTTCTTTCCTCATTTGAGGCAGGGTCTCATGCATCTCAAGCTGGCAAACCCAGTGTAGAGGCTTTCTGCCCCTCCTGCCTTCATCTCCCAAGTGCTGGGACTACAGGCACATTTGACTTTGACCAGTTTACTTGATGTTGGATATGGAGCCCAGGGCTTTGTATATGCTAGGCAAGCACTCTGCCAACTGAGAATATGCAGACTGAAAATAAGAGGATCCCTCCATATGCTCTTTTTTTTTTGGGGGGGGGGTTTGAGACAGGGTTTCTCTGTGTAGATTTGGAGCTTATCCTGGCACTTGCTATGTAGACCAGGTTGGCCTCGAACTCACAGAAATCCACCTGCCTCTGACTCCCAAGTGCTGGGGCTAAAGGCGTGTGCCACTGACAACTTACAACTTATTTTCTGTCTGTCTGGGGTAAGACAGGGGCTTGATGTGTAGGCGAGGTCAGCCTCTAACCCATGATCCCCGACACAGCTTCTAGAGTTTTGGGATTACAGGTGTGTACCACAATACCCAGGTATTTTTCTAGTTTTTTGTTTTGTTTTTGTTTCTGTGGGACTAGGCCTCCTGGCATTAGCCAGACCTCCTCAGTTTTAGGAGTTAAGTCTGAGCTTGATACTCTCTCTGGGCTATTTTCTGTTTTTAATCTTTACTTTGCTACTCTCTAAAATGGAGTCCCGGTGCCCTTCACACTCTTTCTAAGTAACTAGGGAGTTCAGAACACTGCCGAACGACGCCTCTTCAAAAGTACACATTTTGGTCCTGACAAATATTAACCTATACTGGTTAGCCGGGGGCATTCAAGTCATGTGTGGCGGTTACGGAGTGGGTCTCAGAGACCCACAAGACTGGTATTGCTAGACATAGCCACAGCACCTAGAGTAGCTGGGGACATGCCATGCCTCGGGCCCTGCACCACGACAGGCCGGTCTCCTCCCAAGCCCCCCAGGGCTGTGAGGTGGGCTGTGAGGTGGGCTGTGAGGCGGGCTGTGGCCAACCTGAGCTTCTGCTGTACAATGACGGCTGTCCTTCGAGCTGGCCGCCTCCTGCCGCACTTCTTGTAACTCCGGTAGAAGTTCTGGATGAGCACTGCAGCTCGCCGGCTCTGCTGGAACCGTTTTTGCTCGTAGTAACTTCGGAACTTGCTCTGGATGAGAATGGCCGCCTGGGTCATCTTTTTGTAAAGGGCATACTGCAGGGACACAGAAGGGACAGGACAGTAACAAAGGGAGCCGGAGGCCTCAGGCTCAGGAGGTAGGAGCCCCTCCTCCCTCCCCTCATCTCTGATGGGGCTGACCACAAGACAACAACAGCAACCTTTCGTCTATTCTTCCAGACAGCCTGCAGGCAACATTGACACTTCCATCCTCAGATAGCAAAGTGTTTACCTCTTGACAATTTCTAGCATAAGTAAAGACATTTGAGCCCAAAAGCATTGAACTGTAACATTTTAAGCTGTTCTAAGATAAGAATTGACTGTCCAGCTTTGAAGCACTTTAACCCTTACTGCGTCCCCTGACTCCACTCCTTCAGCCACCTTGCAGGCAGCACCTCTTCCTAATTTGCTCCACACCACACACTGCTGATGGAGCTACCAGGTCCCAAATACAAGGGTTATCATGAAAGGCTGACACCTTGAAGCCATTTCACCCTGCAGAAGACGAACCCTCATCAGACCCACACAATGGCCATGCAGTGAAGCCTACAAGTTCTGCCAGAGAGTTTTGGACCGCTTAGGAGCCAGTGTCAGAGGCCCTCAACCGAACCTGCTCCACAGCCACGGGTCTGAGAGGAGAAGACACAGGAGCCAGGCTTGGTTCTGAATCAGTCTTGAGGCCCTAAGCACACAAAGCTCCCCACCATGCTACGTGGGAGTTTCTAAGGCAGTGAAGAAGTCACATGAAGAAGGCAACTTACTATGTTAAGGGGACAAACTACTCAGAATCCCCCTTCCATGCCTGACTGCACTCCAGCCATGCCACCCATAACACAAGGGAAGGAAACTGACGTCTCAGATCTCTCGGAAACCCTGTCCTGCTTTGTTTAGTGTGCTTCCAAGTCCTTTAAGGTAAGAACACCGCATCCTATGAAGCTTTTGTAGGTCTCGTCATTGTGACTGAACAGGGCATGTTCTGGTCCCTGGGGCCACTGTGAATCCCACCATGGAAATAAGAGATTTGCTTGATATTCACTAGGTTCAAAGTCACTGGCTTGGCCATAAAATGTCCACCTATTATTAATGCCCAAGCCCAGTCCACTAGAAAAACTGAAGGTCCCCAAGGATAGATGTGGTATGGCCGGGTGGCCTGGCAAAGGAGTATGTATTTGGTGACTGAATGGCCCCTCCTTGCAGCTGGTGTGGGTGTGAAGTCTGTGGCTCTGGTGGGATGGTTTGTATGAGGACTTGGTGTATCATTACCTTCAAGGCTATCCATGTCAGCTTGGGGGGAGAAACAGAAAATACAAGATTAACGTTAGATTACTGAATACAGGAAACCAACCAAAAAACCCCAAATCAGTACTACTCCCAACCAAAACCAAAAACCAACAAAAAGGCCTTCCATCTTCCAAAATACCAATCTTACAGTTGTTGCCATTTACAAAGATAAGGCCTTCCGTCTTCCTAGCCCAAGACATTTACTCAGCAGGGATTTTTCTTTCTCTCTTTTTAAAAATAAGTACCTGTTGTCATCACAGACTGGAAAGCTCGATTCTGTGTATGATACAATCTAGTGCTAACATGAAGTCTGTTCACCGATCTAAGAGACACTGGGACTGTGGTGTCAGCGTTTGCACAATAAACCTTCAGGGTCTGGGATCTTGGACTCAGCTGGCCAGAGCTGGAGTCCTTGCTTCCCTGCCCACTGGGAAAGTTTAAAGGAGAGGCTTGAAAACCAAAACAAGAACAAAAACAGCAATTCACATTAGAAACCAAAACCCTAGGTCTGAAGGAGAGCATGGGACCCCAAATTTCTCTGCAATTATACATCTTAGCACTTAATACCCTGAAGTAGACTGTAAAGCTTATCCAAAGCCCAATAAAATAAGGTATTCTAGAATCTTTTACAGAACTGACTGTGTGTGTGTGTGTGTGTGTGTGTGTGTGTGTGTGTGTGTGTGTGTGTGTAATAGTGAGTCCAAGCTGGCCTTGAACTTGCCATCTCAGTCTCTGAGTGCTGGGACTAGAGGCTTGAGCCATTGTTCCCAATGAAATGACAAAATTTTAACATGGAAACTAGTCTAAACTCAGTAGTTTCAGTATTTTATAACCACTCTGACATCTATAAACTTTAACACTGGCTTCATTTCTCTGAGCCTGCTTCTTCCTTTGTGAATGGAAATGAAACTGCTTGCTTGGAATAGCTATGAGGTTATGGGCATCCTGGAAGACTGGCATACCCTGCCCTTCAATGCTATTCAGCTACCCCACAAGCTGTCCTGGCGTCGGGATCTCTGTGAGAGAGGCTGATGGGGAATGTACTACTGTGTATGTTTATCTTATTGATCATTGAATAAAATACTGTTTGGCCAATGAGACAGCAAGTTAGACAGAACTAAGAGTCAAAGAGGATTTTGGGAAATGTAGTAGAGAAGTGCTGATCCAGGCAGGAAGTGACATAGCAAGGAGACTCATATTTAAGCGAAAGAGAAACAGGAAGGGCTCTCTTTTCCCCTCGGCTCCTATTCTAGCGGCACGATGTAATTCACCAGCAAGGAGGGACGCCAATAAGGCATCCGATAAGATAAGTCCCATAAAATATATAGATGTATGGTAATTGAGACTGAGCTAACAAATGAGAATCCTAGTCATTGGCCAAGCAGCTTTGTAACTAATACAAGTCTCTCTGTGTATTCATTTGGGCCTAACTCGGGCGGGCGGCTGGCGTAAAGCTCCGCACGTGGTGGTGGGGCTCAGGCTGCTTTTGACAAAAAGATTTATCGTAACAAGAGGCCTCGCTGTCTGTCATTCATGCCTCTGCTAACTAAAGCTTGGTGGCAGACTGCTGTTTTCTTTCCCTCTGGTTCCTAATCAAGGCAGTTCAAGTCAGGCTTTTGCTATCAAGAGTCAGATGTGGTGCTTTGTAGTTAAACTGCACAGCAGTGTCTCCTGAGGCCCAGGCTGTGTGGACAGGTGCCCTTTCCTCCCGTGAGGTTCACACAACTGAGGGTTACCTGTTTGTACTTTCTGTAGCAGCGCTGAATGACGGCAGCAGCCACTTCCTGCTGTTCCCGCAAGGGTCTGCCCTGAAAGGCACAGTGAGGAGATCAACAATGAACTGGTGTAAGAACTGTCACACACACATTAGAACCATTACTCATGTGATACTCCTTTCCAAGAGATAAAACCTCAGATTTACTAAACCACACTGAGAAAGACCACTATGAATTAAGAAAATGAATTTACAGAATAAATCTCCAACTGTTTTTGCTTTTAAAAAAATCAAATCATACTTGGATGTTAGGAGGCCTAAAAATGTGCATTTAAAAGGTTTTGTTTTTGTTTTAACAAATTAGGTATTGTGATGCTCATCTTCCAGATTCTTAGTAGTCTTTCCTAAATAATCCAACTACTTTCCTGAACACCTTCAGGCAGAGTGGTCCAATGCCTTTAGGAATGTGCAGGAGAGAGAGTCCCACCTAGTTCCTATCCCCTGATGAAAAGCACACAAAGAAGTTTTGTCACTAGTTCCCAGGGGTTCAGGGTCAGGCAGCCCACAATCCTCAGGGCCCGATTTTGGATTTAGGTCATAAATCCCTCATGGCTGAGGTGTCAACTTATCAACAATAAGATAGTGACAGCCATCCCACTGGTTTTATTTGATTAAAACTCCTGAAAGTTATTATGATAATAATACAACATAGAGTCTTGCAATAAACATTTTATCAAACCACAAACCATAGGGGAAAGGAACCGGACACAGGCACCCCTATTTCACCTTGTATTTCCGGAAGGCTGTCTGGACAAGCCTGGCAGCTTCGTAGAGCTCTCTCTGCTCATGGTCTGACAGTGTGAGCTGAGCCAGCTCGTTCTCAACCTTCTCGCTGGTGGACGCGCTCAGGAATTCTGACCAGTCTGCTGCCGAGGGAAGGCTGGGTTTCTCAAAAGCTACTTCACTGACAGGAGAGCCTGCAGGACTCAAGCTGGCATTAGAAGAAGGAGTTAGGGGCTCAGTGTACGCGCTCCTGAGACAAAAGAAAAGACAGGATGGGTAACAGCTACTGCCCCACCATCCATTGCCTAGGAATTGATGAGACCAGACAGGACCTACTTGAAGCCACCCCAGGGAAGGCTAGATGCCTTTGTTCTGCTTATGGGTTGCTTAACACACTCAACACTTTGGCTGCACCTCAGTTAAGTTCATAATGAGCATCCATTTTCAGTTTAGCACCGCGCTAAATACTAAGGCCGAGAAAGACAACAGCATGCCTCTGGAAACTTCACCCGAAGAAGGGCGGCACATCCCCACATGGCATTTTAAAAACACGCATGTGGGGGGAGGAAGTAACAGGAGGAGAGATGGCAGAGCCAGGGTTTGGAAGTGCTGTGAGGCCATGTGCCCTCCTTGGGAAAGTCCCTCTTTACACTTGGCCTCCAGTTAAATCCAGGACTTTATCCTGGGCAGACCCCTGACCCCAAATCTTCCTAACCTGATGTAGGCAGCACTGGGCAGACGGTCGGCATCAGCTAGGTAACTGGCCAGCCAGCTCATCGTACTGTTAATGGTGGCAGGATCTGTCCTTTCCAGGGCCGCGGACTCCATGGGCACAAAGTTCTCCTGCTTGATTCGGTCTGGTGTGGCTTCAATAATGTGCTCCGCCAAGGTCATCATGTTCACCTGCAACCAGAGGCCACAGGACACTGAGCTTAGAAAGAAACCTTCAAGCCCATTTTACTGCCACCCTTACCTTGTAAAGGAAGATGGAGGTGGGACAGGGAGTGGGGGAAGACAGCCATTTATGCCTCAATCCAATGCACTCAGGGTTGTAAGTTAGCACGTGACCCACCTGACACCTGTTTATCTCCTAATCATAGCTTGGCCTCACACCTTGGCCCACGTCTTAGAGAACTTCTGTCTTGGACCCACTGTCTACTCTTAGCAGCATGAACCAGTTAGGGACCTCATACCTGTGGGGGTGGTTCCAGGTGAATCATCATGGTAATTAAAAATTACCATTATTTACATGCCTGCACTGGCCTTCTACCATGTGGTCATGGAGACCACACTCACAGGTCATCAGGCTTGAGGGAAAGCACCTTTACCTGCTGCGCTATTTTGTCAGCCCTAAATATTTATGTATTTATTTTTTTAATTTTGTTTTTTTCCAAGACAGGGTTTCTCTATGTAGCCTTGGCTGTCCTGGAACTCACTCTGTAGACCAGGCTGGCCTTGAACTTACAGAGATCCACCTGCCTCTGCCTCCCAAGTGCTGGGATTAAAGGTGTGCACCATCACTATCTGGCTTATTTTTAATTGTGTGTGCATGTGTGTCTCTCTGTGTGTGTCTCTGTGTGTGTGAGCGTGTGTGTGCACATGTGAGAGAAGATGCTCGAAGCCCAGAAGAGGGGTTGAATCCCCAGGAGCTGGAGTTGTGAGCCACCCAGTATGGGTGTAGGGAACCAAGCTAAGGTTCTCTGAGAGATCTATACTTATGATTGGAGATATGGGCTCCTCTTTTCAAAATTCTTTGCACACCTCTTAAAAATGGTAGTCTAAATGCAACAGCTTAGGTTTCCACTGAGTCCTCTGGCCTCAGGAGTGAGTGTTCTGAAAGGAAGTCCACAGGGGCAAAGGACGATCTCCTATCAGGAAGGCACCTCAGAAAGTTACTGTGCTACGGGACCGTGCTTTGTGCTTTGCACACTGGCTCCCCAGCTTGTGGAGCCATCTGGGGGGTGGGGAGTGTTGAGGCGGTTCACTGCTGTGCCTTGGTGACTGACACTCCAGGCTCCTGCTGCCCTGACTTCCAGCCCCACAGACTGTGTCTTGAACTAAAATAAACCCAGCTCCTTTAAGTTGATTTGTCCAGAATATTTCATCACAGTGTTGGGAGAAGAAGCTAAGATACACACTGTTAGCTACAGGCCCGGGAAGGCAGAGCTCCACTTCCTGTTCTTGAGTGTGTGTGGTGGGTCCCTGCTGTATCCTCCCACGAACACAAACTCTGTAGCTGGTCCTGGGTCAGGTATTTGGGTCACAGCAACACCAAGACACAGAAGACTACATCCCAGTTAGATGAAGTTTCCAGAAGACTGAAGTCAGGTGCAGGTAGGTGACTCAGTGCTACACTGGGAGCCGAGAAGGAAGCACGACTGACCTCAGACCTCTCTGACCAGCCTACAGCTACCTAAAGTTGGCTAAAGTGGATTTTACAATCTAAAGATCAGACCTCTAAAAACAAAACACAACACAAAACTATTTTAAATGTCTGCTTAAGGGAATTTTTCAAATCTACATCAATGAGCAACTGTCTAGGACAGTGTCTCCAGAAAGTTTAATTCAGAAGATAAGATCCACCCTGAATGCGCGGCGTCATCCCACAGGCCGGGCCTCAGGCTGCCGACGTGCCTTCCCCACCACAATGGATTATACCTCCACACCTACCAAATATGAACCCTCCCTTCCTCCCTTCTGCTGGTTTCATTCTGTGAAGCAGAAAAATAATCAATACAGGTTCCAGCAGGAACCACTCATGCCAAGGACTGGGCAAACTGTACCAGGCAGAACAGAGCCAGCTACCTGTGTGTGTAATTAGAGCTTTAATAGACTGCAGCTACACATTCCTTTCATTTTGTCCATGGTTACTTTTGCCCTTTTACAGCAGATCCAATAGTTAAAACAGTTTCGGTATGAGCCACAAACCCTAAAAAATATTCATCTGGCTCTTTACAGAAAAAATTTACAAGCCTTTTATCCACAACATTTTTTTTTTTTTTTTTTTTTTTGGTTTTTTCGAGACAGGGTTTCTCTGTGTAGCTTTGGAGCCTATCCTGGCACTTGCTCTGTAGACCAGGCTGGCCTCGAACTCACAGAGATCCACCTGCCTCTGCCTCCCAAGTGCTGAGATTAAAGGCGTGCGCCACCAATGCCCGGCCCACAACATTTTTTGACGTAGGCTGGACACACATGTAGCCCCAGCTACTTGGGAGGCAGGAACGGGGGTAGTGCGAGTTCGATGCCGGCCTGGGGACTTAGTGAGACCACGCTTGAGAGAGTTTAAAGGGGGGCTGAGGACTGTGCTCAGTGGAGTGTTGGATTAACACGTGGGAAGCCAAAACAACATGATTTGATCTCACTTGGCAGGTGTCCTCCTGGCTACACGGCTGTTGGTAAATCAGTGGTGGGGTCTCCCTTCCCAGGCGCAGAGTCTATACTGACAAGAAGTAGAAAACAGAGGGCCAGACAGCTCCCCCAGGGTTTCCTGCTGGCAGGAAACCACCTTGCCACTCCAGCAGCACTCCTCAGGCGCGACAACGCTCAGAAATGACTCGGCAGTTGCTTTCCTGAACCTGCTGGCAGGAAACCACCTTGCCACTCCAGCAGCACTCCTCAGGCGCGGGTGCCCCCACCTGCTCCTTTTGTTTTGGGTGGTATCAACTAGAATCTGGAAACAAAGGCGCTCCCATCCCATGTTCCCTGGTTCCCCTTTTGATGCCTCTGTGATGCCTCGTTTAGTCTACAAGTTTAGTGTCCTCAGGTCTCTGTGCTTCCTACATTCTTACAAGGGCATCCAGCTACCAGCCCTAAAGATATTTTACCACATGCCATGTGAGCCTCAAGCCACATGGCCTTCACAATGGCTTCACTCAGATAATCCAAATCCTGTCTGCAGGCTGCCTTGCTGGCTATTTTTAGGGCCCTGACTCTATCATAACCACTACTGAGAACAGTGGAGCTGTCATCCTGGATGCAAGGACTTATCAGAGGGTTATAAGCTGAGTTCTGAAAGGGCTGGTACCAAGAGGAAGGCTTTGTGAAGGGCCTGCAGTTGGGTCCTATTCACGATGCCTGAGTCACAGGAGGAAGCAGATGGTCAACATCCCCCTGCAAACCTTCCTGGGTGGGGATGGCGCCAGGGGCCTGGGGGTGTAAAAATGATGCTTTCAGAAGTGAACTGTAATGCTCATAGCCACAGTGAGGTTCCAGCTTCAGCAGGCTTACCTGATTAGTCTTACCTGAATATCATCCATGGGCTGGGGGCATTCCTCGCTCTCTGTACTATCCCGGTAGGCCCCCATTTCTGTATTCACCACCTCTCGGTTAGCCATCATCAGGACACTCATTGGTTCCCTCGGACGCACCTGTGAAGGTGCCGCGTCCTTTACTACACTGGTCCCCTTCGGATTTCCAGTCACCTGTACTGTAGACACACCAATGTAAAGATCTTTGGAACTCCACTTTACTACAGGCTGAGGTGCAGAGGCTTGGAATGCTGCGGCCTGTGGAGTGGGAGGGGAGGCTTCCCGGCTGCAGTCCCTCACTCCTTCACTGGGGCTGATTGTCTCAGGGGAAGACTGCTTAGAACTAGGGCTCTGCTTCCTGGTATCTGGCTGCTCCAGGCTCAGTGCAGTGCAAAGCAGTTTCTCCTGCCTTGCCTGGAAGGACTCGGGGTTCAATTTATGCTTTTTGGGAGCCGGATAATCTTTGTGGCTCTCACTGCTGTAGTAATTAGAGGGTTCAGACCGAGGTCTTCTCAGATCTGAAAAGTACAGTAGAAAGGACAGTCAGGACAAGCGACCGAAAGCAGGAACCCTAAAGAACCAACATGTTATGCCTGAGAGATAAGAAGTGCAAAGCTGGAGCGCAAGGCACGTTCCTGAGCTGTCACTATTCCCCGGCGGGATTGACGGTCTTAGGCAATCCTCCTCTAAAGGGGTGCGCTTCCTTATACACAGGGTTTCCATACTGGGAGAGGCACTAGCTATTTTTAACGGAAAATAAGAAACATCATGTAACCCCCCCACTTGCCACCAACCCTTAAATGTCTGTGGGTATCCTATGAACTCTTCTAAGGGAAGCTGCAGAAAGCCAATGGGGAAGCCGGCAAGTTCCGAGATGAAACCCTTGTGAATTTGTACCTGGATTGGTGCTTGCAATAACAGTGACTCCTTTGGGTATTTCTGGAGAGCTCATGGCCTCCCTGTGCCATTGGGCCATCCAACTGTCCGCGCTTGGCTCTTCACTTGGGGCACAGTGGATCCTGGGGGTCTGTCCCAGCTGGGCCTGCTCGTCTCTTTGCAGGTGCTCCAGACACTCTGCTAATTTCACGTGGCCCCTGGACCTGGCAATTCCCAAAGGCAGCCTTCCCAGAGAGTCTGGGATGGAGATGGCACGGCGGTCCCATTTGTACAGCACCACTGCCGCTTCCAAGTGCCCTAGGGCACAGGCCCACATCTGAAAGTCAGGAAGACAGAACAAGGAATTCAACAATTGAAAACAGATTTCACACCCCCACCCAGCTAACAAGCCTCTTCCTTACCAGAGGAGTACAGGAGAAGTGGTCCACATTCAGGGGGTCGACTTCCAGTTCCAGGTCAATGCTGTCGGCATGCTTTGTGCTGCGGGGGTAGCATGGAGTTACCCAGGTTAGCTCACGAGAAAAGGAAACACCAGGGTAACACACAACCCATGAAAACAAAGCCAAACTGGGCACCTAGCCTTCCTGGTGTGAAGAAATAGGATTCTGGACTTCAGGGGTAGTTTGCACTCTATTTGACAGAAACCCAAAGGAAACAGAGTCTAACATCTCATATCTCATTCAGTAGTCCAGGGCACAAGACTATTGGGAGCCATTCTTGGAAAAAGCCCTGGCCCTGGGCTATGAAATGCACCGAATGACTGGATTCCTTTCCACCAGTGGGAAAGACGTGAAATGGCCGAGCCCTTTGCACCTGGCCTTACCGCCATTTGATGAGGGTCTGGATCAGGGTGGCATAGCCCTGGGCAGCGGCCAGGTGTAAGAGGGTCATCCCACGGAAAGTCTTCGAATGGATCAAGTGCTTGGATTTGGCCCAGCAGGCTCGGCTCATCATCTTCTCACAGACGACCACCACACGACTCTCGAAGCAGCTCCCTAGGGTTCCGGCACCCGATGTACACTGTGTCACGAGAAAGTACATGTTACACCCAAGGACACAGGCCCTCCACCACACCAGAGAGACAGATGACAATCCGCAGTAGGCAGAAAACACGTTAACAGTGAAAACAAAGAAATGTGAAAAAATACAGAAAAGGGCTGGCAAGATGCTCTGAGGGGAAAGACACGGACTGCTAAGAATGATGATCAGTGTGTGGTCCCTGGAACCCACATGGTAACACACACACACACACACACACACACACACACACACACACACAGAGAGAGAGAGAGAGAGAGAGAGAGAGAGAGAGAGAGAGAGAGAGAGAGAGAGAGAGAGAGAGACACACGAGA